ACGATCAGATCTTGAGAGTTAAAGGGTTGTTGTTAAACAGTGACATGATGATACAAAGAGCAGTGCAAAATAAAGCAAGCAAGTAAAAAAAAGAAGGGGGGGGGGAAAGAAGTTGTTACCGTTGGCGTTTTTCACCAGGCGACAGGCGACCAGTCTTTGGTATGGTGATCCTCACCACACCCCACCCCCTATCCCTAAGGATTTCGTCAACTTTCTATGAAGGTTCACGGCTACCCTCTGATAGCTCTTGGGTGGAGATACAGTTTGGGAGCTAAACATCTTGACCAAAACTTAAAGAAATGATCGAACCACGGCGCAAAGGTGGATGTTTTGATCCAGAGCCAAGCCCAGCAACCGTACGCCCACAACTACCTTAAATCCTTTTAAACATACGCAATTTCAGCTGATGGAGGAGTTCTATTAGTAAAATGAAAGTAAATACAGAAATGTAAAAGTAAGAAAGAAAAAAAAAGAAAAAGAAAATGGTAACGTCTATCTTACGTCTTTTAGAATAGTTTCAGCTGTTTCAATGTCTTTTTGAGCTGCATCATTGGCGCCATTTGCCGCCGCCTGACTCTGCCCAGCCATCGAGAGGATGTCTGTTATGTTGCCAATCACTGCAGATACTGACCTTGCCTTCGTTCTGAAACAGAAAAACAACACATCGCGGATTATCATTTGCAGTTCGTGTAGACCTTTTCCATTTTTGTTGTTCATTAGTTTATCATTATCTCGATTAAAGTTTTCCATTTTCCTTGTGGTATATTCTTGTAAGGACAAGAAAGTACAATGAAAAAAGTCTCATGAAAGAAACAGCCAAACGAGCAGTCAAACGTCGGGCATGCGTAGGGTGATCAATTTTGGCCAGCCGTGTGCCAATTTCCCGCGCAAAGTTGCCAAGGAAAACCAAACAAACGACTGCGGTCTCGCAAAATAAGCGAAACAAATCAAAGCGTTTTTAAATCTGTAAAAGCAAACAAAAGAAGGGAAAACTCGAGACTCTTCGAACACAAAGCCCATTCAAGGACGGGTATCCTGTTGATCTACCATTCTGTATTGAGCCGCTTTACCAAAAAACTTGTACGCTTGTAAAACACAGTCACTTAATGGCTTGTGTGGTTTTTGAAACTCGTGGGAGACAACCTGTTTCTGACAGCCTATTCATTAAAACATGCGCAGACGATTGACTGTTGTATCGAAAGAGACAGACTCTTTCTTCATCTCACTCAAAACAAATAACGTCTTTCTTGATTGGTGACCAAGCTCAGACTTTGACAAGTTAGTTACCTGGCTTTCTCAGCTCTCTCTTTCAAGTTGTTAGCCTTGCTTAATCTTTCCTTAGTTTCTTCTAGGATTTCATCGATACCGGTCAATGAGCCCAAAGCCAACTTTATGTCCTCAGCAAGTTTTTCAATTTCCTCTGGAGTTACAGACAATTTCATTTGTTTCACACCGTTAGCTACTTTACGTATTATGTCTGTGTCTCCAAACTCCTTGCTGAGGAACTCCAAAATGTCCTGGAATATTAAACAGATTTCGAGCTAAGAACAACTTTCAATGAGTGTCAAACATAATCCGGGACTTCCTTGATTTGCTTTTCTTCGTTCTGTGATTGGTGTAGAAAATTCGCGCCAACTTCTCCACAAATCAGATTCAACGTAAACAAACTAAATGTGACTTATTACTAGCGCTTTTTCCGCGCTCCAGGCCGTTTGCTTGTGTTTACTATAAGTTCGCCTATCTGTAGTTTTATGCAATTTTTCCCCATATTCTAATGGGCCTTTTGGTCCGAAGAAACTGTCTAAAACAGCTCTAACACAAAAAAAATTAATAAAATAAATAAATAAATAATTTAGCAATGGACATTCCACTGGGTGGCTCTTCCTGTCCACTGTTTCAAATGCTTTGATGCACAGATAAAACAGTACCTGAATAAGTTCATCCATGCGGTCACTTGCATTTTGAGCTTGCGCAACTGCATCCATAGCCCGCATTACTGCTTTGTCAGCGGCTTCTTTTGTCATGTTGACCATAACGTCTCCGTTTCGAACTTCTTTCAATGCTTCGTTTGCTTTGGCTAAAAGAAAAAAAAAAGAAAGGATGTTTGTCTCGCTTGGTTTGAAGCGTTATGCGACAGTGCTCGTGCGCTTTGCGCTATCAAATCAAAGGATTCTTTTGATAATCAAAGTACATAAAGGATGAAAAAACAAAGGAGAATTTATACTTCTTCACTAACCTTCTCTCATTCTTTGAGCAACTTCAGCTTCTCTGGCTCTG